CTTTACTCGGTATACGTCACCCCTGACCCCCTCATCCTTTGTATATTTATGGTTGTGGGTTCTGTTACAAGCCGTTGTTTTTGCTCTCCGGCATTAACGTTAACAAGCGATCTACATCGCCTAGATGGACTTCTTTTGGGGATAGTAAGCACTGTGTATAAATACGCAGCGTGTTCGCTGAGATAGTGTCGACCGAAGATCTCCAGTCTGCCAGAATGACCTCCTTTACTGATAGCCCATTCAGCATCCCCTTTAAGAACATATTCAATTGACGTCTAAAAACAGACAGTTCCGATGATTTAGACGTGCTCTCCAAATCATGAAAGAGGCCCATCCCTACGCGATAAATGTGATGCTCCATGTCTAGAAGCTGTTGTGCCAGGGAGAAATCGTTCTCAAGCTCCTGGCGCAGCAAAACACCCTTTTGCTGTAGATCCGACCCGGATTGCACGGCCTGTGTATTGCTTCCAATACGCTGCAGGAGGGGTGGCCATCGGGAAAGCAAGGTTCCGAAGTATTCCAGGCCCACAGCTTCCTGCAGATACGCCCCTAAGTGCTCCATGTGCCCTACTCACTAGCACTATAATGGATGGGATTAAGTACTAATTTACGAAAAGAGCACCTAAAGACGGAAAAATGACAACAAACACAATATAAAAGTTCACAAATAAGTCTCTAATCTCAAAAAAAAAACGAATCTCAGCATTTAGTTAAGACTAAAGTCATTTGAGTGTCCATTTGCCAGGTGGGGGGGAGGAGGGGGGGGGATGATCCAGAGGGCCCCCCCTCTTGCACCACTACAACTCATGCCTGGGATTACTTTCGCTTTTTATTAAGTTTATTTAGTAGCCCGTTCGGGGCCACAAACGTGGTGTATTCATTCAAATCGATTTAATCGTATTAATAATCTCATCAAATAATCGGCCTCCACAAACAGACTTACGGTCGGCTGCTACGAGTTCTTCGTCTGTGGCTAGGAACTATTTTCTTTCGGTGGGATGCTCAGCTTGGCGCGCCTGCTTTCCGCTGTCGCCACCTCATGAGGTGGGTGCCTTTCTTTTCGACCTCCAACTTTTGGCCGACTAGGAACTTTATTGCGAGTACCCTTCTCTTTTGGCGCCTTGACCTCCTCCGGAATGCTTCGCTCTTCAGAAATCTTCTTGAGCTTACAAACGTAGAAGCCATCCATGTTGTGCACGTGTGGAAAATACCGTCGAGATTTCTCCAGGCTGTCATGATAGCGGTGGTGGCGGTACTTGGTGAAGCCAGGGCGACCGAAGGGGAGCCCCATATCCACTACCTTTACCTGCCGGCGCCGCAGCGCAAAGTCAACGACGGCCTCATCCTCTTCAGTGAGAAAGGAACAAGTAGAGTACACTACATAGCCACCAACCTTGCAGGCATCGATTGCGCTCAGTAGAAGTGTGCGCTGAAGTTGGGCGGCGCGCTGAACGTCCTCGTGCTGCTTGCTAATCTTAATACTCTTGTCCCGGGAGATGATGCCGGTACCGGTACATGGCGCGTCTAGCAAAACGCGGTCGAAGCTGCGCATGACCTTCGCATAGCCGTCTCCGTCGTAATTGGTAACGATGCAGTTGGTGACGCCGAGACGCTGCAGGTTGGCGTTGAGGGACCGACAGCGCGCCTCACTGACGTCGTTAGCAAAAACCACGCCGGTGTTCTTCATGAGCTGGGCGATGTATGTCGTCTTGCCTCCCGGAGCTGCAGACATGTCCAGGACGCGCTCATGCTCCTGTGGCGCCAATGCCATGACCGGCAAAAAGGATGCGGCGGCCTGAAGCATATAGTGCCCCGCCAGGTATTCGATTGTGCCGGCAATCGGTACATTGGACTCAAAGACCTGCAGCCCGACCTTGGACCACTTTTCCAATGGCTCGACATTCATGCCGCGCTTCACAAGGGCCTGGACCAAGTCTCGCCGCTTAGACTTGAGGGTGTTCACACGTATGGTCGTAGGCCGGGGCTTCTCCATGGCCTCTAAAAAGTCAACCGCCTCGGCCGGAGGAAACATAAGCAGTATACAGTCCATGAGGAACTCGTTGTACTCGTACAGCTGCAAAAGATCTGAGCGCAGCAGTTCCACATACGCCGTCCGGGTGCGCGCCTCCTCACGATCCTCCCTGAAATTAGAGAGCACACGCAGCGTTTCCTGGATACGGTCCCGCAGCTCCTCAGTGGAATGAGACGGACGAATTAACTGGAGGTCACCCGGTTGGGTGAGCCCCGCCGATGTTGCCAGATCCACCTCGGTTTCAATCTCAAAGGGGGTTGTCTTATTGCTGCGTGTTTGTATATCTTCCTGCTGCTCAGCATCTGCGAGTTGCTTCTGAGCCAACATGCGGCGGCGATACTTTTCTGCCTTCACTTCAAAATCATCATCTTGGTGAATCTCACCATCCAAATCATAATCCTCCTCCTCCTCTGCATCGGCGTCATCGAGAACGTCTTCAAAATCGATCGGACACTCATCGGCACCAACCGTCTCTTCCCGAAATACCTCCCCATCCACCTCCATAGTGTGTTCTCTAATGGGAAGGTCGGCGTCGCTATCACCGAGACTAGCCTCGTGCGCGGTAGCCTTCCTCTGTCGCTTTGCATCAGACGTGCCCGATCTTGCCCGCTTTGCTTTAACACGACCCTGCTTCTGAGGCATCACTACCTTAAAAACTCGCTTTAATAACCACACCAGGATCCTTTAATGATTAGATCAAGTAAAGAAGAAAGAATGAGAGTGCCAGAAGCATACACGTAGAAACAATTACCTGTGATAATCTGAGAGAGTAGACCCAAAGGCGGAAAGACAGCCATCGGATCGGAGAGGGATAGTAGGCTTGACAAAGCGAAGGACCTACTAACAAAGAAGTTTAGAAACCAACAGTTACACGCTACATTAGACAGTTAATATGGCTTTTATTATTATTTGCCCCTTACCAATCTAAATCAGAGCCTCCTTAGCGACCACAAACGATCTGGTTCGATTATCTTTTCCGCATGAGACAATTGTGGAGCCCCCAGCGTAGCCAACATCCAACACCCCATCCGTATGAGGGGTGTCAAGGGTGAGAAGAGCGGTACTCGTCGAACGGAGGTCATAGACGCGCACCGTACCATCTTCACTGCTAGTGGCGAAGAGATTGGTGGTAGCGGATGTGTCCGCTTCCTCACGCCGCCAGAGCCAGGTAGCGGCGTAGAGCCACTGCCGGGCACCGCTAAAGGTCTTAATGACATGCTTCCCGCGCGTATCGTAAAGCCGAGCACGGTTATCCGTGCACGCGGCCAGGATCAGATCTGAATCCGCCCCGCCGGGCTTTACAGCGAGCCCGTTGATGGGGTGGTCACCCTTGTACTGCTGCACCATCTCCGCCGCCTCGACGTCCAAGGTCTTGATGATGCCATCCAGCCCGGCCGAGTGGAGGCGGACGGTCCCGCGGTAACAGGACTCCGAGAAGCGGCAGGCCAACACGGGGCGGGTGTGGTCCGTGAAGGTGAGCACGGGTGCCTTTTTAGAAGGGAGCACGTCGCCGCTTTGGAGCTGCTGGTGCCAGTTAAACACCTTCACTGTTGCATCCCAGGAAGCGGTCACGACGAGGCTTCCTTCGACGGGAAGAACATGAACGGAGTCGATGCCGTCGGTGTGGGCGTGCACGCTTCCCACTAGCTGCACCTGGCCCGACGCATCGTTATATCGCCATGAGGCCAAGCTACCATCCTTGCTAACACTGACAAAGAGGAAATCACTTGAGGCGGCAGCGGCACGGTTCCGCTTACGGGTCTCACCACTCCTTGTTGCCGCACTGGAGTCCACGATAGAATGCACGCAGACTTCTTTGACACATTCTTTGTGAAAAGATCCTAGAGCAACACAGTTATCGCCATCCCACACTCGGACACAGTGATCATAGGAGCTTGTTAGAAGCATCTCCGCGTTTCCACAATACGGAGCGCGAACACTGCTCACCCAGTCGTCGTGTGGCAGTAAGGTGCCCTCCTTCGCCTGCAACGCAGGCGTGTACTCAATGTTGAGGAGCTGTTCGTGGCTGATTCCCCGACGCCTCAGAAAGCGCGACAAAGAGGTGCCTATGTACTCATCATTGTATATAAAATCGAAGTTCTGCTCTTCAACCTCAAGTAAGCTCTTTAACAGTTGATTTAAACCATCTGGAAGGACATTAAGGGGAATCGAGAAGGTCTGCTCGGGCGCTGACTTAGAGAAAGTTGTTGTAAAGAAGGTAACGAGCGCACTACCGGAGTCCTCCCCTATTCCATTCTCGGTGGCTAATGGACGGCTGGCAATCATACTTAAATTGTCACAAAACTATGCTATACATTTATAAAGACAAGTAGAGTCGTGGGGGATAAAAATCTTAAGAACATGAAATATTTCTAATGAAATAAAGTTTCACAATCAACAAATCCAAGATATGCTGGTTCATTCTTTTCCTGAACTTCATATCCAAAATATTTAAGAGAGTTAAGGGCTAAAGGTACCGACTCCACACTTGTTCGAAAGGCTATGTAACTGTAAAAGTGAGCCATAGTAGGAATAAAATTAAAGCGATTAAGCTGAAGTCTAACTAATTGAGGAATTCAGGGAAGGTTTTGGCTCCCTAATCCAAACATTAGGAATGATAATCATCAAAGCAAGAGTAAAGAAAAATGCCATCATTAGCCAAACAGCTATGTCTTCGCGTTTAAATTTCTGAGGCTGTCTGGCACGCATCTTCGTTAAATAAACTATGCAACAATATAGTACTATCCCTTAGATATGAATGAATATATCAATATTAAACAAATGCAAAAAAAAAGAGTTGGAATTGGAGGAGAATAGCATAACATATCTTTGCACTAGATAAGGCACATAGATAGTGCCGAACAGTTGAAAAGATGACCGTTTCTCTTATAGAAAGAGAAAGAAGCATGCCAACTAAACCGTATCGATGACATATTATAACGCACTCTGAGGCATTGTCCTCCTCCTTAGTGTGCAAGCAGGGATGTATTATCGCATAATAGAGGCAGGAAAAGTTCAAAAAGTGAAAGGTTCAACAAAATATCTGAAGATGAAGGAAAGGAATTCTCAGCAAACCAGGGGGCATGTTCCACCTCAGCCCAGGGCCTGCTTTGTGACAAAATATTAGTATCCCCTCTGGTGCCGAAACTATGATGATGGTACATAGGTCCAGACAAAACAATTTCTCCACCTGGAGTGACGTTCTGAACTTTCAGAAGAGTGATTCGATTTATCTCACTCAAAGGACAGCAAGTGGGATCTGAGGACAGGAACGACCCCGCCAGGATGGTGGGGTCAACATGACGTAGTTTCAGCAGGCACCACCATGAATGGCATAACCCCACGTCCAGGGGTTGGTCTAGCTTAAAGGTGTCTTTGCCATAAAATAAGCCCTCTTGCCATACTGATTGCCTAAAGAGAGTTGAAAACCCATGACAGGAGTCATAGGGATGGAAGCGAACCTCATCCACACCTGCGATGCAGGGATACTGGTCAAAGAATAGCTCTATCGCGGAGGTCGCTGGAGTGTAAATGGCAGTGAGCATAACAAACCGATAGCCAAAGAC